CTGTGTGGGGGCTTCAACACTACATTTCCCTTCTGCACTGATATAGCAGAGGTTTTCTGGGAGGGCTCTGCTCCTGCTGAAGACTTCTGTCTGGACATCCAGGGATTTCCATACATCCTCTGAAATCTAGGCAGAGGTTCCCAAACCTCAGTTCATGACTTCTGTGCACTCATAGGCTCAACACCATGTGGAAGCTGCCAAGGCTTGGGGCTTGTGCCCTTGGAAGCTATGGCCTGACCTGTACCTTGGCCCTTTTAGCCATGGCTAGAGTGACTGGGATGCAGGGCACCAAGTCCCTAGGGTGCACATGGCAGGGGGGCCCTGGTCCTGGCCCATGAAACCACTTTGTTCTCCTGGGCCTCTGGGCCTGTGATGACAGGGGCTGCCATGAATGTCTCTGACATGTCCTGCAGACATTTTGCCCATTGTCTTGGAGATTAACATTTGGCTCCTTGTTATTTATGTAAATTTCTGCAGCAGGCTTGAATTTGTTCTTAGAAAATGGGTTTTTCTTTTCTGTTGCATCATCCAGCTGCAAATTTTCTGAACTGTTACGTTTCATTTCCTTTCAAAACGGAATGCTTTTAACAGCACCCAAGTCACCTTTCGATTGCTTTGCTGCTTAGAAATTTCTTCCACCAGATACTCTAAATCATCTCTCTCAGGTTCAAAGTTCCACAAATCTCTAGGGCAGCAAAATGCCACCAGTCTCTTTGCTAAAACGTAGCAAGAGTCACGTTTGCTCCAGTTCCCAATAAGTTCCTCATCTCCATCTGAGACCACCCAAATCTCATCTTGAATTATAATCCTTATAATTCCCATGTGTAGATGGCAAGACCTGATGGGAGGTGATTGGATCATGGGGGTGGTTTCCTCCATGCTGTTCTCATGATAGTGAGTTCTCACAGGAGCTGATGGTTTTATAAGTGACGGTTTCCCCTACACACACATACTCTCTCTTACCTGCTGCCATGTAAGACGTGCCTCTTCACCTTTCACCATGATTGTAAGTTTTCTGAGGTCTCTCCAGTCATGCAGAACTGTGAGTCAATTAACCTCTTTTTTCTTTTCTCCCTTTTTTTTTTTTTTTCTGAGACAGAGTCTAGGTCTGTCACCCAGGCTGGAGTGCAGTGGCATGATCTTGTTTCACTGCAGCCTCTGCCTCCACCTCCTGGGTTTAACCGATTATTGTGCCTCAGCGTCCTGAGTAGCTGAGACCACAGGCATGCACCACCAGGCCTGGCTAATTTTTGTATTTTTAGTAGAGACAAGGTTTCACCATGTTGGCCAGGTTTGTCTTGAACTCCTGACCTCAAGTAATCCACTCACCTTGGCTATCCGTGCTGAGATTACAGACATGAGCCACCACACCTGACCATAAACCTCTTTTCTTTATAAATTACCCAGTCTCAGGTAGTATCTGCAGTTTGAAAATGAACTCATACAAGGAATATATGTAGATTTTACTCAGTGTAACTTGATCGGGAGTTGAGATAATAGTGGCTCTTAATTATAACCAGAAAATAGAATTTGGAGTTTGTTGCTGTGTTCGTTTGAATTATGTTTCTTTACCTTGAAGATCAAAGAACCATTCTTAGAGATTTCTTTAATATCAAGCTATGTCTGAAATAGGCTCATTTAAAAGCGAGGTTTGTAGTGTAATAAATCCTGGTATAATAGAAATTTCAGAATATCTTTCACATTTTCATAATCATTCATTTTAATCACTAGTGCTAGATGCCTTGATCATTGAGAGAAAAACATAAAAGAGAAATGAGTTAAAATATTTTGTGGCCTCATTTAGGTTTGAATGTTTATGTTTCAGGAATTACATAAATTTTACTTAGCCCAATATGTACTGGTACAAACTGTAAAACAGTCAACTATTGCTTCTTTAGCACATTTTCTGGAAGCATATTTGTATGACAAAACACTCTTTGTTTAATATTTACAGAGTATAAGGCTTTGAAACCTTTTGATATATATGTACTTTCTTAGAAGTAATAACTCAAATAATTGGATAGACATTCAATTCAAACAATTATAATTAGTCTAACAAATAGTGTATCTGTTCGCCTAATAGTTCTGAGGCCTAACTTGAAATTAAGATGTTGAGGGGACAGATGGTTATTAATTGGAGGGGTCACATATATTTTAGGTAAATTACATTGATAATAGAAGATTCCAAATATTTAATGTTTGAAGAGCAAAAACAGATGTTAACTCTGGTAAAGTTCAAAGACGTTCACAGTTTTAGCATAAGCCTATTGTTCTAACTGTGAGCAAACAGAAGAGGCACCTTGTTTGGAAGTTACGTGAAACTTCAAAAAAAAAAAAGGCCAATATTCTCACATGTCAAATACCTACCAAAGAGGGGAGCGCTGTGAATGAGTTACAATGGGAGGCAGAATTATGACCCCCCCCCAAAGAGGTTCATATCCTAATCCCTGGAATTTGTGAATATGTTACATTACATGGCAAGGGGGAATTAAGGTTGCAGATGGAAGTAAGGGTGCTAATTAGCTGACCTTATAATAGGAAGACTATCCTGGTTGATTAGAGTGGACCTAACATAACCCCAAGGACCTTAAAATGGAAGAGGGAGGCAGAAGAGTCAGTGTTAAGAGTGAGGCAACGTGAGAAAGACTCCACTGGCCATTCCTGGCTTTGAAAACGGGATGGGGCCATGAAATGTAGGCAACCTCTAGATTTTGGAAAAGATGAGTAGAGGAATTTTCCCCTAGAACTTTCAGAAGGAACCAGCTGACACCTTAATTTTAGCCAAGAGAAACGGATTTTAGATTTTTGACCTCTAGAACTATAAAATTATAAAATTGTGTTGTTTTAAGATGCTAAGTTTGTAGTATATTATTTCTTCACTTAATGTCATTGGTAGGTTCTTGGAAACTGTGACTTAAGAAAAATAGCATACAGCAGACACTCAAATAATATTGTTTAGTTCAATATCATTTTGTTATAATGTTGGTAAGAAAATATTGGTTTGATTATACTTCATTTCTTTTAAAGTCACAGTTTCCAAGAACCTACTGACATTGTTCAGTGAAGATTTACTGTACTTGTTACAGCAGCAATAGGAAACTAAGAGCTCACCCAAGGTGAGCTCTCTGAATAGAAATACACCACGAATGGAAAACAATAAAATTTCCAAGTGCTAACAGGAACAGGATGAAATGACTCCTAAAATTATTATCTTCCACTCCCTCTGATAATAATGTCATCGGATTGAACATCTAGTAGTTATCTGGAGTAATAAGTAGATATAAAAGACAGAATAGATGACTGATCAGCATTCTTAAGCTGTTTACATCTGTTTAAAAATGAATGTAGGAATGAGAGAAAGCCTCATTCCTTGGAGTTTTGTTAGTGTGAATCAGCTGATGAAAACCTAATGATTCCTTCACGAGCAAATGAACTGGAATCTGAAGATAGACAAGACTGTGTCTGTGGAATTGCTTTTGTAAACACTTATCATATGGGTGTCCAACATCCAAATTTCCATTCCTATTGACACCCTTATCTTCATTTTACAGATTTCCTCATACTGTATAGTCTTAGGAGTTAGTGCTTTCCAGAAGACCAAGAGTCTCTATCCTGGCAGCAGCAGTAGTAGCAGTAGACCAGGCTGTGGTCATGGTAGGTCTCAGCAGTGGAGCCACTGCTCAAACCTCCAAAGTTCACATCTTCCTACATATTTTCTAATTTCTAATTTCTCATCCTGGACCTCCACCTTCCCTTCATTCATTGAGTCCCTGATATCGGTCCAGTAACTTATCTTTTGTTTAAATAAATGAGCCTGTTCCTGTAGCTTCTACCTGGGAAAAAAGCAGATACCCACACCAAGGAACAGCTCTGAACTTCAACCTTTAAATAGTCTATACATGCTGACAGCGTAATATTTTATTCTGTTTCTAAAACTGCCAACTGACTAATGAAAGCCATCCTAATAAACAATTGTAACTGCATAAACAAATATTATGACCTAAAGTTATTTTCTGCAATCAACTGCACAGTTCATTTCTAAAATGAAAAATTCTTTTACAAAGACAAAATCATGAAGAGAAGACTGATGTATTTGAATAAGAATATAATCTTATTCTTAAAAATAAGACAGAATAAATATTTATGAAAAATCAGTTTGACAAAATGCTTAAGTAGAAAAACAAGGTATATGCACCTGTACAGACTGAAGAGCTTACGTAACTGTCCCCAAAACATTCAAGATCCAAGAAACAATTCACACTTGATAACATACAAAAAGTTCCAACATTTTTGAAAAATATTGGGTCTTGGTTTGATATAATCAAAGGAATAAAAATTAAAGCATCATTAAGATGTAATTTTGTATCTATCAAAAAACGTTTTAAAGTATTGACACATAATTTTGATGATATGGTGAAACAAATATATACAATTATAGAACTATAACATTGTGTCACTGGCTGTTTCTGGCTGCAATAAGATAATTTTTGAAAGTCATAAAATATTCATAAGTAGTTAATTCAATAGAGAAAGAACAGCTACCCGGACAAAGATATTTATGACATCATTATAAAAAATACTAAAAATCTATAAAAGATAGGGTGGTAGGGAATAGTCAAGTAAATCATAATACAATATCTAACAGAATACTATGTAGTTATTGACAATAATAACTGTGGAAATAGTAAGACTACTTAATTTTAGGAATCTTAAAAAGAATAAAAATTACAACCATATAATCTATATTCATTAAAAAAGATTTAAAAGGAATATTTTAAAAACTGTGTTTAATTATCAAAATTGTGAGTTTTTTTTCGTTAAAAGTGACTTTAATGTGAGCCAGGCTCAATGACTTACGTCTATAATCCCAGCACTTTGGGAGGCTGAGGCACACATATCACTTGAGGTCAGGATTTCAAGACCACTCTGGCCAATATGGTGCAACTCTGTCTCTATTAAAAATACAAAAATTAGCTGGGCGTGGTGATGTGTACCTATAATCCTAGCTACTCTGGTGGCTGAGGCAGGAGAATTGCTTGAACTTGGGAGGCAAAGGTACAGAGTGAGACTCCATCTCAAATTTAAAAAAAAAAGTGAATTTAATGTGAACACAGTTTTGTAATAATAAGAGAGAATGATAGATCAGTGATGAAATTAATGTAAAAATTGGAAACTTCAAAAGCATAATCAAAATTTTAGGAGATTAATTTCCTCTATTATTAGATCAGTCAAAAGACATGGATTAAGCATAACAATAAAAGAACTCTACCAAGTACATTCTCTTGGAGAATGTTAAACTCAGAGTCTTGTATATTTATCATTTCCCAAAGAATTCCAAGTTCATGATTACTCTGAATCCAAAAACGTTCACAGTGTGGACTATTATATTGAAATGAACCGAATTTAAAATGAACCATCCTATCTCCACAATTTAAAAATGCTTGTTTACATTATATTGCAAGCATAAATCATATAGCCTTCATGTAAGAAGGGTTGTTTTGTCAAAGCTTGAAGATAATGTAGAGATATATAGAGAGACCAACAGACATGCAGAACATATACTACAATTATAACCATCAAGAAATGCTAAATTCTCTTTTGAGTGACTTTCAGTAACAGGCATCACCCCTCTTACAAAGCAGATGCAATAAACAAGTTCTCTAGTTATCCATTAGTAAGGAGAATTTAGAGGAAGTTAAAGAATGGGGAGATCTATGCTTTCATTTGACATGGACATGTTTCAAATGTAAAATGGTGGCATTTTAAAAGCATACTAAATGTGCATCTACAAGCTGTCAGATCACAGATGGAAAACTGACCACAAGGAGATCATTTATATGTAAATTCTAAATAATTTACTCAAGAACACGGCTTCCACTGGAAGATATTACCAGTCAGGCCTCTCTGTACATTTTTACTTACCCAGCCTGACAGCCCATCTGTCTGTAGTTCCCTTCCTTATCCCAATAAGATTCTATACATCTCTCAAACACAAAGAAGATTAGTAGGGAAAATGACACAGGCAGGGCTAAATTTTAAAAGCCTATTTTTTCCTTACACAGCAGCAGTGATTTATAATAAGATGAAAATTAGCCAGAGAAAACAAAGTATGTTCTTTCTCATGGGTCAGTTAGACTAAGGCTTGGAACACGTGGACCAGCCCAGTAGCCAATGCACTTAGTTGATCAATACGAGCTCCTGTGTGCCACTTGGCCTTCTAAAGGCTGACACTACAATGCATTTCGTTAGGCCTGTGTGGTAACCAAGTGCATGACGGGTGCAAAGCTGCACCATGGAATAAGCTCAGACACCATTAAGAATATCCTAAGAATCTCTAATTTCACATGTTATTTAACTCATGAATGGTAGGAACACTACAGCACAGTATTGTACTTAAAAATAATTATTTAAAAATATGTATGAAAACTATATTTCGTTTAAACGACATTCCAGTATAGCTTCTGATGCGCTCTGTCATTTATTACTGAGCAGTAGGAAGTTCAAATAAAGTATTGAGCAAAACAAGGAAGCAATTGGATTGTTTATATGAGGAACTTTATATATCACTGCATATATCTCAAAGTGTTTTCACACGGTCCCTGTAAAACTATTTGGGCAAGTATTAAGGACCTAGACTGTTTTCCTCAGGTAATAAGGAAGATTCAGGCATCAAGAGTTGAGGGAAATGTCCAGGGTCACAGAAGCATTGTAAAATAGAAGCTGTCACAATTCAAGGATACCTTCAATTCATACTTTGATATTTATGTCATATTTAATAAACTGAATATATGTAATATTACAATTTAATTTTCTTAAGATATATAAAGATATTCAGCATTTATATGTGTACTAATCAAAGATATGTTAACCAGTAGGTAACCTCCAAGAAGCAGATAGTAATTGAGTACTGAGTCACCAAATCACAGAATCTAGAATTTATAAATAACTTTATCCAACCTCACCTCAAAAATATAAATGCCCTCGATAATATACTTGAAACATAACCTTTTTGAAATTTGCTTCGTTAAGTCCGGATACCTGTTTGACTCAGTTATAACAAACTCAGCGACGATAAGTCCACTTTCTCCCACAGTTCCTCCAGCTGCCACTTAGCTATTCACTTCTTGTGTTGATTAGACATAAGTTCACCGTAGTGCTTCTTTTACTGTTTTATTTTCTTTCTAAAGAAAAAAGTTCAGAAAAAATGAGGTTTAAGTTCATTTAACAGCCCAAATGTTCATCAACAAGTTTATAGTTCAGATAAACTTATAGTTAATGCCACTAATGGGGTATCAGGAACTCCCAAGGGTCCAGCACCATGCTTTGGGAATTTCTTCTCTGACCCAATGTCTCGTATTTTAGGATTGGGCTTCTGGTAGTATTGTATGTTTTATGTAGAATAAGCAATGATATACATATTTTTTTAATAGGGAGGAAGTAGTAGAGTGACTTCAACAAGATGGCAGAATAGGAAGTTTTGGATCCTCCTTCTCTCCAAGAACACACTATTTTAATAACACAAAAATTCCCTTGCGAGAAATTCATAAACCAGTTGAGAGGCTCCTACACCCTGGGAAATTGCAAAATCAGACACAACAAAGCTGGTAGGGAAATTCCAAGACACCCTCTTACAAGAATCCCTATCCCCCAGCACAGTGCCATATGATCAAGAAAAATCGCCTTGAACAACTGGCTTCTCTTCTTCCTGTCTTGAAGCACTGAAGAGACTTGGCAAAATGTAGCCACCTAGGGGCCACTGAAAACAAAGATGGCTCTTTGCACTGGCAGTCACCACAGCCCCTCTTCCCAGCTGATCAAAGAGCAAGTAGATAAAAAAGCCAGATCTCAGCTTTTTCCTGGGGAGGGGGAAGGTTGAACCATATGCCCAATGTCCTAACTTTTATGAGAGTTTCCCAAAGTATTGCCTGTCTTGCCTGTCACAGAACACTGATGGGATCTGGCACAATCTAGTCGTTTGGGGGCCAGTGAGAACAAATATGGCGGTTTGATCTAGCATGCAAATAATTTCCATACCACCCCCCTACCCCATGTTCAGCACAGAATGAACAGACAAAAAACCATAGATTCCAGCTTCCCTTTGGGAAGGAAAAGAGGCGGGCAGAACATACAATCCAAGTTTTCTGAAGGCTTCCCAAGGAACTGGTTTCAGTTTCACTTGTCTCAGAGCACTCATGGAACTTGGCCTACCCTAGATGTCGGAGAGCCACTAAGAACAAAGAAAGCAAGCTGGACAAGGACAAAGTTCTGAGAATCACTGGGTGGGTTGATTGGTGAGGAACTTCTATTGTAATAATCTAGTCTGTGAAGACTGGAAGAGCTAGCTCTTTTGTCTACTGTGCAGACACCAACACAGAGAGTCAAGGAAAATGAAGAAATAAAAAAAAATGTTTCAACAAAAGGAACAAGATAAATATCTAGAAACCAACCATAGCAAAAAGAGATAAGTAATTCACTTGACAGATATTCAAAATAACCATTATAAAGATGTTCATAAAGGTGAGGAGAACAATCCATGAATAGAGTGAAAATTTCAAAAGGAATATAAAATATTTAAAAATGGCAAACAGATATCATGGAACTGAAGAATATAATAACTGAAGAATTTACTAGAGGGATTTAACAAAAGCATAGATAAAGCAGAAAAAAGGATAGAGAACACAGAGAGGTCACTAAAAGTGGTTGAGTCACAGGAGGGAAAAAAAAAGAAGGAAGAATAAAGAAAGCTTAAGGGATTTATGGGCCACTGTCAAGTGAATCAATATACACATAATGAGAGTCTCAGAAGGGGAAGAAAGAGAGAATGAAGCAGAAAGCTTATTTGAAGAAATACTGGCAGAAACCTCAAATCTGGAGAAGAAAATGAGCATCCAGATTCAGGAAGCCCAAATAAACCCAAATAAGATGAATTAAAAAATCCACAAAAAGACATCAAGTTGTCAAAAGTCAAGGCCAAAAGAGAATTTTGAAAGCAACAATGGAGAAGCAACTTGTCTTATACAAGGGAATGCTATTGAGACTATCAGTGGATTTCTTAGCAGAAACCTTGCAGGCCAGCAGACAGTGGGATAAAATAGTCAAACTGATGAAGAAAAAACCCCAAAATTCTCAACCAAGAATACTCTACCTGGCAAAGCTGTCTGTCAAAAATGGAGAGATAAAGACTCTGCTAAACAAACAAAAGTAAGGGAGTTCATCATCATTAGACCAACCTTGCAATAAATGCTAAAGTGAGTTCTTCAAGTTAAAATGATAATACAACACAATGGCATAAGAAAATATAAAACACATTTGTCAAGGTAAATATAAGACAGATACAGAATGCTGTATTACTGTAATAATGGTAAATCACTTTTAATTCTACTATAAAAGTTAAAACATAAAAGTATTAAAAGTAACTATAGCCTAAAAATGTTACAAGAGACAATATAAATAGATATAAATTGTGGCACCAATAATATAAAATGTGAGGGATAAGTATAAGTATAGTTTTTATAAACAATTGAACATAAGTTGTTCACAGTTTAAATTAGCTATAAGAATTTTATATAAGCCCTATGTCAACCATAAAGAAAATACCTATGGAAGTAACACAAAAGAAAAAGAGAAAGAAAGCAAAGCTTATCAGTTTTAAAAAATTAATGAAATACAAAGACAGTAAGAGAGAAAAAGATAGACAAAGTAACTGCAAGGCAGACAGAAAGCAATGAACAAAAAGGCAATAGTAAATCTTTCCTGATCAGTACTTCCTTAAAATGTATACAGATTCAAGTTTCCAATCACGATACAGAGTGGCTGAAGGACTTTTTTAAAAGATCCAACTATATGCTGTCTACAGGAAACACAGTTTATATTAAAGGACACAGGCCGAAAAAAAATGTATGAAAAAATATATTCCATGAAAATAGTAACCCAAAAAGGGTAGATGTGGCTTTACTTATATCTGATAAAATAGGTAGTAAGTCAAAATTGTTGCAAGAAACAAGAAGTATATAATCCAATGAAAAAAGGACCAATTCACTTGGAAGATATAACAATTGTAGATATGCACCTAACAAGAGAAGACTTAACTATATAAAACAAGCATTGATAATACTGAAGGGAAAATAGTGCTGCAATAATAGCAGGAGATTTTAGCACTCCATTTTCAGTAATTGATAGAAAAACAACCAGACAGTAAACTAACAAAGAAGCAGTGGACACAAACAACTCTATACATCAAATGGACCTAACAGATCTCTACAAAACATTCCATTCAACAGCAAACGAACATTAATTCTTCTCAAGTGCATACAGGACATTTTTCAAGATAGATCATGTTAAGTAACAAAACAAGTTTTAACAAAGTTAATAATATTGAAATAATACCAAGTACCCCTTCAACCAAAATGTAGTAAAACTAGAAATAAATAACAACGGGAAACCGAAAAAGTTGTGAATATGTGGAAATTAGATATGTATTTTTGAGCAACCAATGGGTCAAAAAATACAGACAAATAAAACATATCTTGAAACAAATAAAAATATAAATAGAACATAACAAAACTTTCTGAATGCAGCAAAAGAAGTACTAAGAAGGAAGTTTACAGTGATAAGTGCCTATGTTGAAGAAGAAGAAAGGTCTCAAACCCATTTTATATCTCAAGGAAATTGAAAAATAAGAGCAAACTAAATCCAAAGTCAGAAGAAGAAAGGAAATAATAAAGATTATAGCAGAATAAATAAAATAAAGAACAGAAAAACAATAGAAAAAACAGTGAAACTAAGAGTTGGTTTTTTTTGAGAAGATAAACTTGAAAATATTAAGCTAGAATAACCAAGAAAAAAGAAGAGTCACATAAAATCAGAAAACAAAGAGGAGACATTACAACTGATACCACAGAAATGCATAGGATTGTAAGAGATTACTATTAACCATTATACACCAGAAACCTGGGAAACCTAGAAGAAATGGATAAATTCTTGGAAACATACATCCTACCAAAGCTGAATCATGAAGAAATAAAAAGTATGAACAGGCCCATAACTAGTATGGCTATTTAATCAGTAAACAGTAATCTCCCAACAAAGAAAAGCCCAGGACCAAACACCTCACTGATGAATTGTATGCAACAATTCAAGAATTAATACCAATTTTTCTCAAGCTCTTCCAAAAAATTGATGAGAAAGAAACACTTCCAAACTTATGAGGCCAGAATTAACCCTGATAAAAAAGCTAGACAAAGCCACCACAACAAAAGAAAACTACACGTCAGTATTTCTAATGAATGTGATTGCAGAAATCATCAACAAAATATTAGCAAACCAAATTCAACAGCACATTAAAAGAATCATTCACCATGACCAAGGGGGATTTATCCCCAGGATGCAAGGATGATTCAACATATGCAAATCAACAAATGTGATACATCACATTAAAAGAATGAAAGATGAATAAAAGCCATATGATCATCTCAAAAGACATAAAAGAGAATTTGATAAAATTCTACATATTTTTATGATAAAAACTCTCAACAAAGTAGGAACAGCAGGAAAGAAGCTCAACACAATGAAGGTTATATATGAAAAGCCCTCAGCTAACATTATGCTCAATAGTGAAAACTTGAACACTGTTCCTTTAAGGTCAGTAAAAAAGCAAGGATGCCCACTCGTGCCACTTCTATTTAACATAGTACCAGAAGTCCTAGCCAGAACAATTAGGCAAAAAAGAAATCAAAGTCATCCAAATTGGAAAGGAAGAAGTAGAATTATCTCTATTTGAAGATGATGTAATAATATATAGAGAGAAAACCTTAAAGACTCAACCAAAAAAAAATGTTAGAACTATTAAGTGAATTTAGTAAGTTGCAGGATACAAAATCAACATACAAAAATCAGTGGCATTTCTATACACAAGCAATAAACTATCCATAAGCTAAATTAAGAATTCAGTACTACTTATTACTAGCAACAAAAGGAATCAAATAGTTACAAATAAGTTTAACCAAAAAAGTGACACTTTTACACTGAAAATTATAAAACATTGATGAAGGAAATTAAAAAAGACAGATAAACGGAAAGATGTCCTGTTCTCATGGATTGGGAGAATGATTATTATTAAAATATCCATATTTCCTATAGTGATCTATAGATTCAGTGTAATCCCTATCAAAATTTCAGGGCCTATTTTTTTATATTAACAGAAAAACCAATCCTACAATTCACAGAGAACCACAAAAGACCACGAATAGCCAAAGCAGTCTTGAGAAAGAAAAACAAAGCTGGAGGCACATAACCACTTCCCAATTTCAAAATATATTATAAATATACAGTAGAAAAATTATACTACAGGCATAAAAACAGACATATAGACTAATGGAACATAATGAACAGCTCAGAAATAAATTAACGTGCATTAGTCTGTTTTCATGCTGCTAATAAAGACCTACACAAAACTGGGTAATTTATAAAGAAAAGAAGTTTAATTGACTCATAGTTCCAGTTGACTGGGGAGGCCTCACAATCATGGCAGAAGGTGAAGGGGAAGCAAGACATGTCTTACATGGCAGCAGGCAAGAGAGTTTGTGCAGGGGAACTCCCCTTTATAAATCCATCAGATCTCATGAGATTTATTCACTGTCACAAGAACAGCACAGAAAAGACCCACCCCATGATTCAATTACTTCCCAGCAGGTCCCTTCCACGACATGTGAGAATTATGGGAGCTACAATTCAAGATGAGATTTGGGTGGGGATACAGCCAAACCACGTCATCATGCATCTATAGGATTAACTGATCTTCAGCAAAGGTGTCAAGAACACACAGTGGGGAAAGATAGTCTATTCAACAAATGGTAGTAGGAAAATTAAACGTCCATATGTAAAAAATAAGAAACTGGATCTTTATCTTACAACGTACACAAAAAAATCAACTCAAAATGGATTAGAGATTTAAGCATAATGCCTAAGACTATAAAACTTACAGAAGAGAACATAAGGAAAAAAACTTTGTGACATTGGTCTTGCCAATGCTTTTGTGGATATGAAATGAAAACGAGGCAAAAAATGTGAAAGTAGACAAACAGGACTATATTAAACTAAAAAACTCCTGCACAGCAAGTAAAATAATCAACAAAATGAAAAGGCAATTTATGGAGTGGGAGAAAACATTTGCAAACCTGATAAGGGGTTAATTTCCAAAATATACAAGAAATGTAAACAACGGATTAACAAGAAAACTAATAACTTGATTTTTAAATGAGCTAAAGACTTGAATACACATTGCTTTAAAGAGGACATACAAGGAACCAAAACGTATATGAAAAGATACTCAGTTACTAACCATAGTGAGATATTACCTCACACCTGTCAGGATGGGCATTATAAAAAGAAGGGACATTTTTTTAATTCTTGGTGAAGATGTGGAGAAATGACAACTCCCGTACACTCTTGGTGGGAATATTAAATGAAGCAGTTGGTATCAAAAATCAGTATGGCATGTAAATGGTTAATATTTCATGTCAACTTGACTGGGCCAAAGTATACCCAGAGAGCTGGTAAAAACATTATTTCTAAGTATGTATGTGTGAAAGTGTATTAAGAAGAGATTAGAATGTGAATTAGTAGACTGAGTAAAGAAGACTGCCCTCACCAATGTGGGTGGGCCTCAGTCAATTCATTGAGGATAGAACAAAAAGGTGGAAGAAAGGCAAATTTCTTTTCTGTGCTTGAGCTGGGACATACATCTTTTTCTGCCTGACATACATGCTGTGGTTCATGGGCTTTAGGATCCATATAGGGACTTACAGCATTGGCCTCCCAATTCTCAGGCCTTTCACCTCAGACTGCATTATACATTATACCACCATCTTTTCTGGTTCTCCATATTGCAGATGGCGGATGCTGGGACTTCTTGGTCTCATAACTTTATTAGCATATACATATGCTAACTATATATATGTATAATTAAATGTAGAATTACTATATGACCTAGCAATCCCACTTCTGGATATTTATTCAAAAGAATTAAAATCAGGATCTCAAAGAGATTTTAGCATTCCCATGTTCATTTCAGTGCTATTCACATTAGCCAGGAAGGAGAAACAACCTAAATGCTCATGGAAAGATGAATGAATAAAAACGAGATATATACATACAATGGTTACTATTTAGCCTTAGAAGAAAATTCTGCAAAATGCAACAACATTGAATGAACTTTCTTTCAATGAACCTTGAAGACATTATGCTGAGTAAAATAAGCTAGTCACAGAAGGACAAATGCTGCATGAGTTCACTTACCGGAAGTACCTAAAATAGTCAAACTTAGAATCACAGAGTAGAATGTTGCTTGCCAGAGACTTATGGGGAGAGAGAAACAAGAGTTGCTAATCTGTGGCCATAGAATCTCATTTATACAAGATGAATACATTCTAGATATCTACTATACAACATTGTGCCTACGGCTAACAGTACTGTATTATACACTTAAAAATTTGTTAAGATGATAGATCTCAGGTTAGGTGTTCTTAGCACAATAAATATATTTTTTTAAAAAAGTCAAAATTTAAATGCTTAGCACATTGGGGTTTATTTCTCATTCCTTCTACATGTGCATCATGAATTGGCTAGAAGCTTTAATCCAGGCATCCATATTCACAGGTTGATAAATAGCCATCATTCCAAATTTGCCTAACTGTGGAAGACAGAAGTGGCAAATAGATACAGCTTCTTAAAACTTTCACTAATAGTGATGTAAGTCACTTCTATTCACGTTCCTTTATTCAAAGAGGAGATGGGGGAAGGAGTGCAACCTTATCATGTTCCCAGAAAGAAAACAAGAAATACTTTGTATGATCATCATAGTCCAATAGACTGGATGTTTGTGTCCTCCCAAAATTCGTATGTTGAAATCTTAATCCATTGTGTGATGGTATTAGGAAGTGAGGACTTTGGGAGGTGATTAGGCAGTCTTGAATTACAAACTTAGGATCTCTTACGAAAGCTGACATGAGAAGTGAAAGTAAGTCCATTAGACTACAATCTGTCTCCTGCACTCCTAATAAAACCCTTTAGTGGAGAACACTTCTAAAGACAGCAATACTCTGAGTGGAGTTTGTGCCCTTAAAAAAGAGATCCAAGAGCTCCCTCACCCCTTCCACCAGGTGAAGACAAAGAAAGAAGACAGGCCATTTGTGAACGAAGAAGCAGGCCCTCACCAGACACCAGATCTGCCAGTGCCTGGATCTTGAATATGCTGGTGCCTTGATCTTGGATTTCCTATTCTCCAGAGTTGTAAGTAATACATTTCTTGTTTATAAGCCATCTGGTATTTTGAACTGGGTGGTATTTTGTTCAAGCAACCCAAACAGTCTAAGGCAATCATATTCTTTTCTTTAAAAGTATAAATTTCAACCAGTATTATTAATGTTCTTAAGTGGGATTCACAATTGTAATAAGATTAAAATAAATGTAAGCATATAAGGTCAAAGTAGTTATCTTACCACTCTTAGAGGATCAGTTGACAGAATGGTGTTTCAGCAGCCCTGCCAGTTTGCAAATCACTGAAGCCTCTTTGCTAATCTAAGGAGACACTCTTCTAGGAAGAGAAAGCTCTCGTTTGCCACAAAACATTCTTTGGGTGTACGAATATGTTTTCTTTTTAAAACCTTGAGAAGTAAATAGCAAAGGTCAACTTAGCTACCATTTTTCCAGTGAGAGAAATAATACGCTTAGAACACAAGTGACTTGCCCAAGATCGACTCTGGGTAACAGATTCTGATTCAAGCCCTCTGACTGAAACATCCAATACTCATGTTATGTCTTGGAACACATATGCATTATTCAGGAAATCACAGAGCTCTGGGGAAGGGTAGGAAATGTAGGCACAATTATAAGGATGTTGGGGAAATTAACAGTGGCTTTAAGTTTGCCAACTCTGGTTTAAATATTTCTTGTGTTAGGAGTTTTTAAAAAAGCTCTGCAAAATTATGGTGTATCCATATAATTTATCGTCTTTTTTCTCCATCCTAATCATGGTTGTTAAATTTCTGTGCCTAAAATGCAGACCACTTTTGAGTGCAAGTTTGCGTGGCATACACCAAAAAGTGATCCAAATTGGATACAAGGCTGGGGAGATGCAGTTCAAGCCCACATTGCCATTTGCCTCACCAGCTGGCACTGTCTCACAAGATGCCACCAGATGGGCCTTCATGAGCCTTCTAAATCAACAGAGAAATTCAGAGTGGAGATATCAAATATGCCATTACTGCTAAAAGCAAGTAAATGATATTACATACCTATTTGATACACTGAAACAGTCTTGAATCACAAATTGAGTATCTCTTACGAAAACTGGAATGAGAAGTGGAGTAAGTACATTAGACTACAAATCTGTCTTCTACACTACTAATAAAACTTTTTAGTGGAGAACACTTTTAAAGACAGAAATAGTCTTTTCTCCTCCATTTATAAGGACCCTCAATGTGTTTGGATAAAAGAGAGGGAGATAATGATATACTAGGTAGAGACCTCAAAAAGAAAAAATGTGGCAAATTTGGGAACTGGTAAATAGAGGAAATGATATCCTCTATTTAGCCACTTTGGCTAAAAATGCCACTCTTTCCAATCTATAATCCTAATTTCAGAACATGGCACTCATCACACACCATCTTGAAATGTAACTATTGTTGTACATGTGTCATTGTCCTTACCATAACAGTGTAATGAAAAGATGCATGACTTAGAAGCTGATCAGCCTGATTTGAATTTAAATAACAAGTATCTGCATTGCCTTGTGTAACTTACTAATTTCTATAGGTCTCGTTTCCTCATATGAAATAAGGCTAACAGTTATCCTTCACAATCTATGGGGGATTTGTCCCAGGACCTCCTTCAAATATCAAAAATCCAAGCATGCTCAAGTCCCATTTATAAAATTGCATGTTCTCACTTATAAGTGGGAGCTGAACAATGGGAACAGATGGACACAGGGAGAGGAACAACACACACTGGGGCCGGTTGAGGGGCTGGGGAAAGGGAGAGCATCAGGATAAATAGCTAATGCATGCTGGGCTTAATACCTAGGCGATGGGTTGATAGGTGCAGCCAACAACTATGGCAGACATTTACCTGTGTAACAAACCTGCACGTCCTGCACATGTATCCCGGAACTTAAAATTAAACTAAATATTTAAAAAACCATTTAAAAAATTAAAAAATGCATCATATTTGCATAAAACCTATGCACATGCTCCCCATATAGTTTAAATCATCTGCAGACTTCTTATATTACCTAATGTAGATGCTATATGAGTAGTTGTTATTAATGTATTTTTAGGGGATAATGACAAGAAGAAAATGCTAAGTATTTTCTTAGCATTTTAAGAAAGTACATTTCTTTCTTAAGAATGCTAAGTCCATGCATGCTAAGTACAATTGCAATTGTTTTTCCAGGTAGTTTTGATCCCTAGTTGGTTTTATCCATGGAGGTGGAACCCAGAGATACAAAGAGCCAACTGTACCTACATTTCGAGATTGCCAAAAAAATTAAATGAGTGTGTGTGTGTATATATATATATTTATATATACATATGTAATATCTGGTACATAATAGAATGTAATGACAAGTGTTATTTTTATTGTTATCATACAATTTTGAGACTTATGCAAAGGCTAGCAATTTTATAGAAAAGATAGAGTTTTTTCTTGAAAGAATAATAAATGAATGAATGAAGACGTAACAATACAGAAGTTATATAGAAATGGAGGCCGTGTGCCGTGCTAGCTCAGTAGGATGGCATTACCATGTGGAATTTGTAAAAGGTCAAATGCTGATGTTGTGCTTTGTTAATGAAAAAATGACAACTTTTTGTTTATTTTAAAATGTTTCTAAATAATAGCTCCCAGAAAGTTTATGAATATTCATATTTTTGATAATTCATTTCATTCTTTCTCCAAATTTTCTCAGGACATATATAAATGCACATACAGCAAGGTCTTTTTTATACTTAATATGAAAGTAAGATTTATGTTGCTTTTTGCTTCATAGTATTTCTCGGTTTGTAACTATAAACTTATTTGTGTGAGTACTGGATTAATGATTTCTTATTCGACTAGACTTAAAGCTCCATGAGGGCCAGGGACTGGGTTGCTTTTGAATTCTCTTGGTGGCCTTAGTTTCTGACACAGTGGCTTGTGCATAGTAGGTATTCAAAATAATTATTTAAGGAACAGAAATTATCCTTTTCACTTCCTAAAAGTATGCCAAGAGGATCGACATCCTATATTTGGTTTTAGTTTTCATTTTAAACAACTCGATTTTAAAGGAATTGTGAAGAATTAATAATGGATTGTTTTAGACCATTTTAGACAATCAGGTACTCCATTACTTCATGTGTTAGAGAGCTTTTCAAAATCAGGTGTCAGGGGTGGAAACCTAAAATAGCATTCTGCTTTCAACTAGTGATACTATAGAGACTGTGCTCTGACTCAGCATCATATAGAATCATCTCTCAGGATGCTCTTCCTTGCTCTAGTGGCACACTCAGAAAAGACACCAGTGTTTATGAGATCATAAACATTGTTATGGGATCAGAGCTAGCGACAGTCTTTGCTTCAGGCCATATGATCATAAACAATGTTATGGGATCAGAGCTAGCAACAGTCTTTGCTTCAGGCCATATGTTCTAAATGCAGAAGAAAATTCCAAAAGTAAAAATTTCATTCCAGGATCCCTGGACTCAGCTGTAATTATCCACCCTCGACAGGTTCTGGCCTCTGACATCTGAACCAAGAACCATATGCGAAAGAAAAGAAGTCCTAAAAGAAAGAGGGTGTGGTTGGTTTTCAAGTAGAACAGAACTTGTAGAAATGATTCAACATCAAACTGCTGGTAAACACACATGCAAACACACAATTTTATCTGTTTACGAACAACCCTGAATATCCATAATGTAGAATAATATTAATAGGATTAAAGACACCCACTTCATATGACTATTTTAAGGAGTAAGTGAAATCACATATGTAATGTACCAAGCCAAAATCGGAATCTGAATACCAGCTGATATGCAAGGTGAGCACTCAATCAATGGGGAGTGAAGGAGTTGAGCCGATCACTCAAGAGCCACCTCAACCGCTTGTATTCAAGAGGTGAAGATTAGTTTTCAGTTTAATCTTCTTATACCTTCACATATATTCCAAATGTAATCACTTCCCATGACCTTTACCACTCCCATGTAGTGCTGGCCACCAGTATGTCTCCTTCAGACTTCTGTCTTTCCCTAGCCCTATCACCTCCCCTCACCTCTCTCACTTTACTTTCCCACCTACCACCTCCCAAATGGGTGTATTATCCACAAAGCAGTCTGAGTGATCCTTTTACAATAAAAATCTAATCTGGTCACTCCCCTACTCAAAGCTCTCCAACAACTTCCCCATTAAATCTAAATTCCTTGCCATAGCCAACAGTAGCTGGCCACTGACCTCACCAACCATCCTTTCTTACACTTCACAATGGCTGATGTTATAGTTTATTTGATGATTACTTGTTTCATATGCCAGAATGCAAGCTTCATGAGAACAAAGACAATATTTGTTTCACTATTCTACTCCCAGATATGCGCATTAGGGCACATAATAGGCACTTAATGACTGTTTATGGAATGAAAGGATGCATGAGTATATCTCATCCATATTCAATATCAGATGTATCATTGGGAGATGAAGTCAGTGGAAAAAGAACTAGTTACAGCTATAAGGAAGACAGAATACAGTTTTCAGTGGTGGAACCAAAGGAGTCAAAACAGGAATAAATGCAATGTAGAAACATAAGTATAGGCAATAGTGTATTAATTTTCAATTGCTGTTTAACAAATAACCACAATCTTAGTAGCTTAAAATAGCACCCATTTATTAGCTCATAGTTCTGTAGGTCATTGCAGGCAAGCTTGACCAAATTATCTCCTTAGGGTCTTACAAGGCCAAAATCAAGTTGTTGGCCAGGAAGGGCTCTTACCTAGAAGATCTGGGGAAGAATTCACTTCTAAGCTCCTTCTGATTATTGGCAGGATTTAGTTCCTTGCAGTTGTTAAGATGGAAATAGAAGCTTCCTTGATTGCTATTGGCTGAGGCCACTCTCAGCTTCCAGAGGCCACCTGCATGCTTTGCCATGTGACCCCTCCACCTTCTAAGATAGCAGGGCCATGTTGAATCCATCTCTTACTTGGAATCTCTCTGACTTCCTTTTTTGCTGCCCACCAGAGGAAATTCTCTGCATTTAAAGGGCACAAGTAATTGATTAGACTAGACCTACCTGGGTCTGATTAACTCCCTTCTGACTAACTCAAAGTCAACTGATTAGCAATATTAAGTACATTCGTAATAGCAGGCATGATAGTTCATTATACTCACAGTCTCAAAGATTAGGGCAGGAAATCTTGAAGTGGGGTGGGGCAGAGAGGCATTTTAAAACTCTGCTTATCACAAAAAGCTTATCCTAAACTAGATACCCCAAACTAGAACATTTAAAAGTGTTGTTCTTTGGGATCTCTTTCTTGCCATTGACAATAGCTTAAGACTCATATTTTAAATTTGGAAGTATTAGTGTGTACCTTTTGCTTTTATCCTAGGAGCAGAAACTTCACAGAGAGGCCTGCAGTCCACTGAGCTGAAAACCAAACCCGTAAACAAAATGTCATGCTACAAAGATTAGAGAGAAAAGGCCAAATTTCCCTAGAACCTGTTCTCAGTCTTAATTCCTATAGTCATCAGGATCTTCTTGCATAGAAGGAATGTGCAAATGCACAGTCCCTGGACACTGATTCCATTTCCTACAAGCCCCATTGTTATGCTTGTATTAATGTGCTGCATGGAAATACCATATGCTTCCACATTTTATTTGTGTGGTGCCTTCTAGTTTTCAAAATACTCTAAGATATTTAATCATCTCAACCCTGTGAAGTAAAGCTGGGAAATAACTTTTTTCTCTGTTTTACAAATGAGAAAATTGGTGCCTGGAGTGATTAAATAATTTGCAGTTCCATAAGAATTTACTGGCACCCTTAGTACTAAAGTCCTAATTCCTAAACCTGTGTTCTTTTACCATATTCAAGACTAGAAACAAGAATGTCAGAAGACAGAATGCTGTTCAGAATTTCCTTCTTGGCTGGTGCCTGCTAGTCTTGTGGGCCTGTCTGTTCTTGTTTATCGTACATAGCATTTAAGAAGATCCCCATGAATTGTTTGGCTAGTGATCTCACTGCAGTGCCTGGGGTTTAGCACAGGGCAATAAAGGAAAACTCAATATAAAGGAGGAAATGTAAGAGGAACTGTCCGCTGAATAAGAAGGAGGTATCCCAAGGAATAGCAAAAGGGACTCTCTCCGGATGCTGTCTCTGACTACAAGTAAAACAGGCCACTTCAGGGCATCCGAGCCAGGGATGCAGGTGGCGGAAGTTCCAGCTTGCTCAGGCAGCTGTGACCTGCTATGGTGAAGTGAATCCACATTTAGGACCCATTGGAGAAGTTCCATAGCAAAAGGGGGAATGAACAAAATTACATACTATCAGTAATATTCATCAGTAATACTGTGTAAGAGAATTTGATTACAAAAGTCCACTCTCATCCACAATGATTTATTTCTTAATATATAGCTTCCAGCCAACTTAAACAAGAAAGAAATACTGTCTATGTGCAGAATTACCAAATGATAAAACACGTATGGCTTAAGAGTACTGACTTTGAGAGCAAACAGATTAGAATACCAGTTTCATATCCATCGCTTATTAGCTACGTGACTGGGAAATTTATTTAACCTATCTGAGCTTTACTCTTCTCATTGATAAACTTGGAATGAGGATATTACCTACCTCAGAGTGTTCTTGTGAGGATTAAAGCACCTTGCTCATAGTAAGCACTAATTAAATGTTTGCTATTGTTACCATAACTCAGTATTAAAGAACATGTCTTATATTTTTTCCAGTATTTACCGGCATAAATATAACGATGAGTCTCATGCAATATGATTATGGAGACTCATAGTTATTAAAACAAGGAAGGTGATCTGTGAGACAATTTGTGTTTAAATTTATACTTAAAAAAAAGGTAATTAATAAGATTTAATCCAGAAATAACAAACCAAATTGCCAAGCAATTGTATCTGTTTGTAAACATAACTGCTGGAATATATATGAATATATTTAGTTATTGTGTATCACCCAAAACAGCTTCTGCAAGAGAAAAAGAGTGGGTGGCAGATGTGGTAGAAAACACTCATTTTTAAGATTAAGTGTGAAATGTGTTGGAAATCACCATGGAGATGGTGTAAACAGCCAAATTACCCCAAATCCAGCAAAAGTTTGAAATTAGAATTTCTCTGGATTTTATAAAGCAAGATACTCTTAGTGCCTCAAAGCCCCAATAACGAATAGTGTTTTCAGGGATAATTCTCACTTCCCAAATGTTGAAATTAAAATGCCATGTAATATATCAAAATTACTAAGTCAGTCAATGGATGAAAGTTTTAGAGGACAAACATGAAGTCCTACCATTTACAGGTTTAACAAAATGTTTTATACCTAATTATCCTGGCAGTAAAAAAAACGGAAGAAAGAGATTTCTTTCAAGTAAACTGGCCACCACTTCCGTTCCAGGTTTCTTTGTGTCTTCCACAATAACTTTGAGAGATTATAGACTGTTGTTGGGCATATAGTGTCTAAGGAGGCATGCTGCTAACGTTTCTTATAGTAATAAGATCATTCCATATTATTTTACAAATAGAAAATGATTTTGGCCAATAACAATAGTCTTCAGCTGATTTTTGATACCCAGGAGCACCAGGTACTTAAATTGTCTTAAAATATAGCAAAATTTGTTTGGTTCCAGTTGTATCTCCACAAACCATTTTAAATAAAACCCATGAAGCCAAGAGTTAATGTTGTTAGAAACAAATGCTTGGTGCCACAAAGAAAATGAGCACTTAAACAAGATTTTCTCAGCAAGGCAAATTTTATTTCTGCAGAAGGGTGCTGTTTGTGCCGGGCATGGTCTCAAGAGCACAATGAACAAAGGAGAGAAGGAGTTTTTATCCCTAACGCAGTTCCTATTTCTGTGTCCTTCCCCTATTGGCTGGGGTTAGACTACACAATCTAAAGAATCCCAATTGGCTAAAGCTTAAACTTCTCTAAATAAGGTAATAACACAAGAGTTTTTATGGCTGAAGCAGAAAAGGGAAGAAGTAAGGGGGATAAGTCAAGGCTGCTGACAAGGCAGGTTTCGGTATGTCTGAGCACTGCAAGGGTGAGGGGGTAGTTTACAAGATGAATAAGAACTTTTTCCAAATAAGGAAGTTGATCTTGGGAACAAAGAACGGGGAAGTTAACAGTTAAACCTTTGAAGAGGAATGTATTGTATCTGATATTATAGGGAAATAATGTTATTTAAAAATCCAGAAAGAAAGAAATAGGATATGCCTCAGACAGAAAGTAAATATCCAGTTTCTTCCTGCATTAACCCACACATAGATTCCAAAATATCATACAAGTAGAAGCTGACACTAGAACCCAATACTAAAGTGTGCACATCCTGCCAATCAGTCCATTTCTAGTTCTTCAGCAGCCACTCTCCTGATTGTCTGCATGCACTCAGTGTAAACCCCCATTCACATGACTTTTAACCTTCAAGTCAGAAATCCTCCTCCATTTGGCATACACGTGGTGGGAGGTTCCAAATGAAAAGTCTAGGGCCATTCCTTTCGAAGTTCTTAACTTAGCTCTCTTTTCTGTAACTGTAATCCCGACACCCAAGGTAACACTACCCCTTACACAGAGATTTTGGAGACTCGAGTCCTGTTGGCCGCATCACCAGCATCACCTTCCTTCTCTATAGCCTAAGTCACTTACCCAACAACATGTTACTGGAGCACTAAAATGGGCATGGGCAAGGATAGGAGCTGCCAGATAGGAGAGAATAAGGGATGTAGAGATAATCTTTATATACATTTTCTATCTAGTGGCACAAGATGTTTATAAGGTAGATGTTTTAACACACACTGGAACCTATCAGAGGGTGAAGGGTGGGAGGAGGGAGAGGATCAGGAAAAATAACTAATGGATACTAGGCTTAATAGCTGGGTGACAAAATAATTTGTACAACAAACTCCCATGACAGAAGTTTACCCATATAACAAACCTGCACATGGACCCCTGAACTTAAAATAAAAGTTAATTAAAAAAACCAAGGTAGATGTTGTATTCCTTTCACTAAATAGCTAGAAGAAAAGTAAGCACAGGAACCAAGCCAGGAAACACAGATCCAGCTCTTTAATGGCTTCCAAATTTTCTGAGAAGGTGAGAGGGCTTTGAGATGCTGCTTTTTTTTTTTTTTTGGAACAAAACAGGAACCAATTTGTAAGTAGGCAATAGCCTACCTGGTGCAATTTTAATGGAGGTAGCAGATACATTACCTTCCCTAAGATATCACCACTGGGATTGTTCCATGGTTTTTAACCCATTCTTTCGATGTAGACCACCCCTTCTATCTTAGGAAAACCTTCTTAAAGTACAGATAACTTGAAAGCAGATACTGTTTTGCATGAATAACAAACATTTCATTTGTTTTAATGCCCAAATAGCAATAATCCAAATCTGCATTGTTTGACCTCTGGAATTCTAATATCTCTGGAAATCCTGGAATGTATATTCTACAGATATGTAATGTTTCTTGTCATCTCAGCAACCTTCGGCTGCCCCTAAGCAGGTCACCTCTCAGCCTCTTTCCTATTCTCCCAGTATAGAAGCAAACACAAGACCTTCCCCCCAAGCACAGCTAATTAGAGCCTTTAACGTTCAGCACAGTGTGGCTAAAACCTGTGGATGACAAAGCAGAAATAAACACTTGATCTGTGCATTATACTGAACACTAGATATGACTGCCCTGGGCCATCCCAACCCCCCAAATCCCCTTACCAGTTCTCATCCTTCAGCCGCTGAGCTTGAGGGACCAACGAGGCCGCTCACGGTGGCAGTGACATTCCACCCACACTTCTCACAGTCAGGCTACTCAGTGTGTGTAGGGCTTCCTTTCTAGGGAGCGTGGTTATTTCTCCCATAGCTACAATAAGTACCCTGCGCCAGTTAAAATATAGAATAGAAAAAGGAACAATGCCACAAAGCAAGCTCATTATTAAACTCTGTTATCATGTAGAGCACTTGAGCTCAAATGCCAAAATCTCCATTCCAGAATAGGACCCTGGCTTTTCCATGCATAGAACCAAAAAGTAAATAGAGACTTTACCTGAAGGAACAACATAGTTGTCTCTCAGACAGAAACAGGAACACTGCTGGCGATTGTAGCATAGCAGTCCCTTTCCACACACTTCTAATCCAGGGTATAAAAACTGTCAAAAAATAGTGGACCTTTTTCCTAGCTTGAGTTTCCTGCAATGAAAGGATTATCCAGTTTAATCTTAAAAAGAAGCCTATGAAGTGGGCATTATTTCCCCATTTTACAGAAGAGGAGACTGGTCTGAGAAAGTCCAGTAATTTTAGCCACCGTCACCCAGGCCCATCTGACTCTAACACCTTGACAGACAGCTAATAAGAATGTGGCAGTGGTAATGACACGGGAAGTGAGGCTTAGCTAGAAGGAAGAGAAGGGACCCAGACAAGGGCCACAGGAAGACACCAAAGGAACAGCCTGCCTATGGCAGGACCTGCACACTCCATCGTCATACCTGCATCTGGGAGAGATGGCATAACTCATGCCACCAGCATCCTCGACTTCCTGGCTTGAGTTAGTGCTGGCACGCTAATTAGTTCAAGTTGCCTCTTGAGTCATGAATATTTGGCATTTAAGATTTATTCATCCTTCGTAACACACTCATTGTCTGAAATCTCTTTTAAAAAATTTTATTGGTTCGTGTCGAAGAAGCCTGAAGTCAAACCTCTAAAGTCATTTACCCTGCTATATGAAGGCAGCCAATACTATTATCATTTTAGAGCCCAGTTTATGTCTTCCGTCATTGCTATTGGCATACACTGATTAGAGAGTCTCCAGAGACAGGCCACCAGAATGTAATTTAATCACATGCATTTCAAGCATTTGTAGTGCAGCAGCAACTGCACTCATCCACAACTATGACTGTGAACCTCTCAACAGAGTTAACTAACAATATCTCAAATAAAGAAGTAGGACCTAAAATTCAAGCCATAATTTTATCATAAAGAGAGACAAATGAGAAAAACACAATAATTGCCCTTATATAGAAAACTCCTCTTACAAATGATTCTATTTAACAAATCCAAATTTTGGATGATGTATACAATACCAATAACAAGCCAATTCAATATATCTAAATTAAAATAATATTTTGACACTTGTTTTGACTTTATAATGAGGTTATTAAAAAACTCCAAAAGTTCTGGAGAGCTATTGTTAAATAAACTTAACACTATTGAATTTTACACTTGAAAGATAGTTAACATGGTAAATTTTATGTTATGTGTTTTTCACAACATATAATTTTTTTTTTCCCCTCCGAGATGGAGTCTTGTTCTGTCGCCCAGGCTGGAGTGCAGTGGTGCGATCTCTGCTCACTGCAACCTCTCCCTCCTGGGCTCAAGCAATTCTCCTGCCTTAGCCTCCCAAGTAGCTAGAATTACAGGCACCCATCACCACACCCAGCTAATTTTTGTATTTTCAGTAGAGACGGGATTTCACCATGTTGGCCAGGCCAGTTTTGAACTCCTGACCTCAAATGATGTGCCCGCCTTGGCCTCCCAAAAGTGCTGGAATTACAGGCATGAGCCACTGTGCCTGGACTAAAAAATGTTTAAGTTAAAAAAAGTAAATTGAAAAAACTCTAAGCTCTAAAATTAAAATTAATTAAAATGAAATTACAGTAATATTTCATGGATTGAATAGTAATAATCATATCAAATGATGATAATGATAGTTTAAAAGGATTGGTTTGAGGATGTTACAAGTTGTTATGTTGGGTAATGTGTAAGTATTATCATTAAATTAGGTTATAGGCATTTTTGTTTAAAAGGTGGAGATAAAAATAACATTTAACAAATATTTCCATTAAATTTGTTGAAAAAGTAAAGTTAATTATTTAAAAGTATATGCTGCTTGTGCTTAAAATTTACATGCTAGAAAAGCTTTTTCTCCAGAGACATTGAATAATGTATTTTTATTATGCTAGGGTCTCAGTGAGGAGGAGCTCATTGAAGATAAATGCAAAGTATACAGAGCTCTGAGGGAGCAATAATGATTTTTGTAAAATTTTGTAAACAACATATGAATACTTTAAATCCCAAATATTTAGGATCTTAAATACTAAATATTTAATTAGGATTTATTGGTTGTGAGACCATATGGTCAATGAAATTTAACCAATGACCACAGGGGTCACAATAGCTTATACTACTTTCACAGTTAGCAAATTCTCCTATTTTCCAAATTAATTATTTAAAAGATTATATAATGATAGAGACAGCGTTGTTATAAGCTGTAAACAAATGGACTAACATAATTTTCTGAAAATTAAAATTCCAAGGACTATTTTGAAGATTAAAACCCCCTTGTGCCATACTAATAAACAATAAATAATAATTTATTGTTAATAATTTAATGTTATTATTAAATATAACATTAATAATAATTTTTTTTTTTTTTTTGAGACGGAGTCTTGCTCTGTCGCCCAGGCTGGAGTGCAGTGGCCGGATCTCAGCTCACTGCAAGCTCCGCCTCCCGGGTTCACGCCATTCTCCTGCCTCAGCCTCCCGAGTAGCTGGGACTACAGGCGTCCGCCACATCGCCCGGCTAGTTTTTTGTTATTTTTTAGTAGAGATGGGGTTTCACCATGTTAGCCAGGATGGTCTCGATCTCCTGACCTCGTGATCCACCCGTCTCGACCTCCCAAAGTGCTGGGATTACAGGCTTGAGCCACCGTGCCCGGCCAACATTAATAATTATTAAATAAATTATATAAATTAAATAAATATTATTTAATGTTAAATAAGAATTTAGTGTTATTATTGCAAAGTTTGTTACAGGGCTCTTCCTTAGTTGAGGTCTCATGATTACTCAGTCAACTCCATACAGTAATAGAGTAGTAGTCATGTTCTGAACAAACTCTTATGCTATTTCCTTTGTTTTTAATAACTGTGGAATAATACCTGAGAAAACTTGTTTGGCCCAGTTGCAGCCCAAACACAAAGAAAGAAGGCAAGCAGGAAAGATGACATAGATTCATCAAAAATGACCTTCATAAAAGGAAACTGAGTTACAAGATTCATAAAATTTTAATATGCCAAATATTGAATCTATCAAGTAAAAAGATATATAATTTGATTCTGTTTTCTAAAACTGGATTAACTAATTCATTTAACACTTATCGCTAGTAAAAAATATTTAGACCTGCATCTAAAATTAATCTGCCCTTGATGTAGCTGCAGTTCATTCTGTTTCCTCTGACAGGGCATTGGCGTGAAAAGAATGGAAACATCAAAAGGAAAACGGACAACTTTCATGAACAAAGTAGAATTCCTTGGAAATGTGGAGCAGGTTGACATTATGTGGTGAGAAATTAATACATTTCGCAAAGATTCTTGGCCTAATCGTTCCAGGAAAGCATGTGCTAGTACATTGGTACTTGGCTGAGGGAAATGTTGTAGAAAATAGACATCTAAATACCTTAACACAGTGGTCCCCCCTTTTTGGCACCAGGGACCAGTTTCATGGAGTTTTTCCATGGAGGAACAGGGATCGAGGAGGGAGGGTGGGAGGGTGGGTTTGGGATGAAGCTGTTCCAACTAAGATCATCAGGCTTTAGATTCTCATAAGGAGCTGTGCAATCTAGGTCCCTCGCATGCGCAGTTCACAATAGGGTTTGCTCTCCTGCTGCTGATCTGACAGGAGGCAGAGCTCAGGTGGTAATGCTTGCCAGCTGAGGCTCACCTCCTCCTGTGCAGCTGGTTCCTAACAGACCATGGTCCAGTACCCATCCTCGGCCCAGGGGTTGGGGATCCCTGCCTTAACATGTAATCCTCTCTCTCTCTCTTTTTTTTTTTTTGACACAGAGTCTCACTCTGTCACCCAGGCTGAGTGCAGCGGTGCGATCATGGCTCACTGCAGCCACCATCTCCTAGGCTCAGGCAATCCTGCCTCAGCCTCCTGAGTACTGGAACTATAGGTCCCACCATGCCTGGCTAATTTTTGATTTTTTTTTTTTGGTAAAGACACTATGTTGTTCAGCTGGTCTTGAACTCCTGGACACAAGTGACCCTCCTGTCTTGGCCTCCCAAAGTGCTGAGATTACAGGCATGAGCCAGTATGCCTGGCCATCCTCTTTTTTAATTTGAACTAAATATATACTTTCTACAGAAAAAGTCAAAAATACAAATAAGGAAAATATTTAAATAAATAACTAAAAAGAATCACACTATCCCAAACCAACCACTATTAACATACATTAGTGATGTGATTTGTATCACTATAGATTACTTTTGTCTGATCTAGAATTTCATATAACTCTCTATGTATACTCTTTAGGTCTGATTTTTTTCACTTAACATAATACTTGAGATTCTTTCATGTTTTGCATGCATTAGTAGTGTGTTCCTTTTAATGCTGAGTAGCACTCTATTGTACAAATATACCACAATTTGTCTATCCATTTTCCTAATGAACACCTAAGCTGCTTCCAGTTTGGAGCTGTTATGAATGAAATGTTATGAACAGGTGTTTACATGGACATGTGTTTTTATTTCTCCAGTAAATATCTGGGAATGAAATCATTGTGTCATATTAGGTAAGAGTATGTTCACTTATTAGAAAATACTAAACTATTTCCTAAATGGTGGTAGTGTTTCACACTCTTAGCAGCAGTGTATAGCGTGTCTGCTGTTTGACATTCTTACCAACATTTGCTAGTAGTTTTTTAAATTTTAGCCATTCTAATGGGTAGGTACGGTATCTTACTGTGGCTTTCAATTTGCATTTTTCTGTGACCAATGATGCTTAGCACCTCTTATGTGAAATAACAAGAAATGTTTTTACATGGTTTTTGTATAGTATTTGGTCAAATCTTTTTTCCCAATTTTCTTATTGAACTGTTTATCTTTTAAATATTGAATTATAAGAGGTCTTTATATCTTGGATCTAATCTTTCCAAACCGATAAATTGCAAATATTTTCTCCCTGTGACTTATGTTCTCAGTTTAATGGCATTTTTCAATTTCTCATTACAGTGATGGATTTAGTGTGGAGTGTGTATGTGTGTGTAGTCTATAATCACACTGAGGAAGAATACATCTATTCTTATTTTCTGGAAATTTTTATTAGGAATGAGGGTTGATTTCGTAAAAGGCTTTTCTAGCATCCTTGTAAAATTATATGATGTTTCTTTCTCCACCAATTAAAATGGCAGATTATATCAGTAGATTTCCTAATATTCCTAATATTAACTAACATTCTTACATTGTTAGTATAAATTCTACTCAGTCTATTACTTTCTTAATGAAGTATCAAAGTTGCTCAGTTTATATTTTATTTAGAAGTTTTTCATTAATATTTATAAGTAATATTTATCTATTGGCTTCTTTTTTGTGTTACATTTAACAAAATTGAGTCATAGATGTTATACTTGTTTTGTAAAAATAATGTATACTTTAAAAAATTTTCTCTGAGTAATTTATATAGCATAGACACTAATTGGGCTCTGAAGTTTATAAAATTATTCTTCAAAACCATCTGGCTCTGCTGCTTTTTTTTTTTTTTACATTGTAGTTCCTTGATAACTCTTCTATTTCTTCTACACAAGTGGGTCTATTTAAGCTTTCTATTTTTACTGAGGTCAATTTTGGTAAACTATCTCTTCCTAAGAAAATATTCACTTTATCTGAGTTTTCAATTTTGTTTGCATAAAGGTGTACAGAGTAGCATCATGTGATTTAAAAAATTTTTTCTGGCCAAGCATGGTGGCTCACGCCTGTAATCCCAGCAGTTTGGGAGGCCGAGGCGGGTGGATCACGAGGTCAGGAGTTCAAGACCAGCCTGACCAACATGGTGAAACCCTGTCTCTACTAAAAATACAAAAATTAGCCATGTCTAATACAGGTGGTACCCGCCTGTAATTCCAGCTACTCAGGAGGCTGAAGCAGGAGAATCACTTGAACTCAGGAGGCAGAGGCTGCAGTGAGCCGAGATCACGCCACTGCACTCCAGCCTGGGCGACAGAGGGCGACTTCGTCTTAAAAAAATTTTTTTTCTCAGTATTAATCATCATTTCCACTTGTCATTTATTATTTCATATTCTTCTCCTTATTTCTTGAATAAATTTGCTATTAATAGTAACGTGTTTGTTAATTTTTCCAAGGACCCAGAATTTTGGCCTATTGGATTGATACACTTTTCTATTCTCTACCTTATTAATTTCTTTTTTTATCATTAGTATTTGCCTCCTTGTGCTTTTTTGGGGTGTCTTTTGTTTTATTTCTAGCTTTTTGAGTTGAAAACTTTATTTTTACTTTTTATAAGACTTGCTGTGCTTTTTGGTGCATAGATATTTGTAACTTACCTCTTCATAATGAATTACAGCTTTTAGTATTAGAAGGTGTCCTATGTCTCATTTAATTTTTATTGCCCAGAATTCTACTTTATCTGATACAAGAGTCAGAACATCTGCTTTTTTATTATTTCCACCTGACTGTGTCTTTATCTGTTGTGTCTTTGTCCATGCCTTTAGTTTCAGCTTTTCAATGCCATGTTTTGGCCATATTTCTTGTACACAGGCTAATGTTGGCTTTTCCTTCATAAGCCAACTTTAAAATGTTTTTATTTTAATAGACAAGCAAAGCATTTTCATCTTTATTGATATAATGGATATACTTGGTCTCAAGTGGATCATTTCATACTTTATATGTGCCATGTATATTATGCTGTTTCTTTGGTGTGTTTATTATTTTTTTAAAATTTTCTGGTAGTAGGAAGCTTTGTATTTTTATTCTGTTGGCTATCTTTACGTGTACACTTTTTACTATGCTCTTAAGCCCCTTATTTTCTTACTTAACATTTTACTGTCTGGGAAGCCAATTCAAATGATATCCTTTGACTCCCACTTGCTACCTACACAGCAGTCAAGAGTAGTCTATTTTCCCCTTTCTCTCTGCATTTACTTCCTAGTCATTTAGTTGCATTATTTCTACTTTGTCAGAACATACAATATCTACACATTATTTTTCCAAACCTGCCTTCACTTTCTGCTTTAATCTTATCTCTACAATTAAATATAGTAAATGCTTACTATTTTTCATTTTGTTGATGTTTCCATGGTTATCTCTAGGCTGGAGGATACATTCATTACATTCCTCAAGAGGGGCTCATGTGGACAATATTGTCTTAATTTCCCCCTCTTCTTTCCTTCTTCCCCTGCCTGCCACACTTTATGTAGTTATCTAATTTCCCCATATGTAATGTTTCTCTGAGGCTGTCACCTTTGGTCACTTCCAAACTCCTTCCCTATAGTTGGTGTTGTGAATTACTAAGTCCCAGATCTCTGTTGAGTATTTCACCCTTAGTGTTGGACTTTCTCATTGTAAGGGTGATTTTGTTTATGCCTCATCCATGTCCTCTGTCCCTCTCTCCTCTTTTACTTTCAGACCCCTAGGTCTCCTTTCCTCACTTCACACACCCATGGGTTTGTAGCAATAATGCAAGCTCTGTTGGAAGTTTTTCATTTCTCTAGCTACAGGAAATACAAAGTTCATGGTAGTCTCTGCCTCCTGGTTAATGCTAAAAGTGTGGCTCTTGTGAGGTTTTATTTGCACCCATTGATCTTATGATCTGGGGAGAGGCTATGAGAGGAGAGTTGGATTTAGGCAGCTATCATTATCTTCCAATCTTTCTCTACACTGTTAGATCATTGATTTGTAGTCTTGCTTTTTTTCTAATGATTGTCCTTGTAATCATTGCTGTGTTTCATCCACAAGGTTTGATGTTTGTTTATTTATGTATTTATTTTTAGTTTTTGAGATGGAGTCTTGCTCTGTTGCCCAGGCTGGAGTGTAGTGGCAAGTTCTCAGTTCACTGCAGCCTCTGCCTCCTGGGTGCAAGCGATTCTCCTGCCTTAGCCTCCTGAGTAGCTGGGATTACAGGTGTGTGCCACCACGCCTGGCTAATTTTTGTATTTTTAGTAGAGACAGGGTTTCACCATGTTGGTCAGGCTGGTCTCGAACTCCTGACCTTGGTTATCTGCCAGCTTTGGCCTTTTAAAGTGCTGGAATCACAGGCATGAGCCATAGCACCTGACTGGTGTTTATTTTTGTTACAATTTAGTTCAACATATTTTCTAATAACCATTACGATTTCATCCCAGATCCATGAATTATTTATAAGTGAATTATTTTTAAATTTCCAGACATATGGTGAGTTTCTAGTTATCTCTATGTGATTGGCTTCCAGCCTAATTCCACAATGATCACAGAACCTTTCTTCTGTTTTTAATTCTTTGAAATTTGTTGAGACTTCATGACCCAGCTTATGGACAATTTTGGTAAATTTTCTATGCTTACTATAGTTG